ATAAATTATTAAAGTCAATACTCACAATTTAAATATAAGACTTATTGGTTATTTATTTAAGTTATTAAGGAGTACATTTGAATATTAAAAATATTATAAGGCTTAATAGAAAATTAAGTTAAATTGCAATATGAGTTTTTATCATAATTTTAAATTAGATAACAATATCCAACTTATCTATCAAGAATCATAGTTTGCTTAAAATTAATTGATGAAAAATAAAAATCATCAATAAATTCATTGGATATGTGAAAAATTTAGAATGAGGGATGATATTTTCTAAAATTAAATTAAATTAATTTTAATATTTGTTTTATTCAAAAATACTGTAGAGTTTGAATAGATAGTAATACTTTAGTTTGATGTTTAGTAAAAGTCTGTTTCATTTAATAATGTTACAGTATAGTTAAAAATAAATGTTGGATAAATTATTATATTGTAGTCTTAATTTTAAAATTTGTCTTATGTATGATATTGTTAGACTCTATGAAGTTAATACAGTGTATTATCTTTAAGAAATATGATTGAATTTTGATACTTTAAAAGAGGCTTCTAGAAGTGAGGATTTTGTTTTGCCTAAGATGCTAAGAAAATTATAATAAATCTATTTTATTAAATCCTAAAAATGCAAGAACAGAAGTAAATTTGTAGTCATTATTTAGCATAACCATATATTATCAAACAAAAGTTGAATAGTAAAAAGCCAAAGTAGATTTTTGTCAAACTAATTCCATTGAATAAAATAATCCATTAATATAAACTAATATCCAGCATTTGAATTATTGTCATTCTAATACTGCATATTAATATTTATAACTAGCATAAGAATAAAATATAAATTTTCTTATTTTTATTTGAAGTTGCAGGCTCCATTATACCAACAAATTTGATTTAATTTAATTATGAAACTGCTGTTGAAACTATTATTTAAAGAGCTGATTCACAATTGAATTAAGCTGCAACTTAAAAGATCTTAAATTCTTTTGCTTTTGTAGGTTCAATTATTTAAATAAAATTAATTGCTTTAGATTTTGGGTTAGAATAATATTTTAACAAAAAATAAAAAGAAAAAATTGATAAATTTGTAAGTGTTACGAAAGTAAAAGCAGTTTCTAATGTTGATAGGGAAAAATAAGAAAAAGGAGCAGATATAAAGATTTGATGAAGAAGTCATATCAACAGAGTTATTTAAATTTAAAAAGAGGTAGAATAAATATAATACAAACAGAAAAATATTTTATTGATTATGCAGACGATATTTATTGGCACAAGTGAATTAATATTATAATAATTGTGCTAAATTGTATTGAAAACAATATTGATGAAATTAGTAAAATTTATTTAAGATTATTGAGAGTAGTTATTCAGGATTTATTTCAAATTTTAAATAATAAACAAGAAAAATAATAGTTTAACACCTTTTAATCCATGCAAAAGTTGTTGTAGAAAATTTTTGGGCTTTAGCTATATATGTAATACCTAATGAAATATTATTATTATTATTTTGAAAGCATATTTAATTTGAATATATTATTTGATTCTAATTCTTATTTTAAATATATTAAAATTAGAAAGATTTTAAGAATCAATCAAATATTTTAAAATTTATTATACTTTTAATCCAGAAGATCAATAAATTTATAAATAAATATGTAACATTATAGCCATCAAAATAGTTAAACCCTTAATTTAAAATGCTAATTTTCTCTATTTTACCCAAAACACAACTGAATCTGAAGAGTTGGATTTTTGATAAAAAGTATTTATTATAAACCATAATAATATTAAATTTTATACTTCTCAATCAAAAGACTTTTTATTAAAAAATATATAAAAAAGTCCTTTTATAAATTTATTTATAAATATTGAAAAATGAATTGCCCTGATCATCATCTAAATCCAATATCTTTGATATGTCTATCTAATCACAAATGTTAAAGAAAGCTTTGTGTTGAATGCTAATATGATCATGGAGTGGATATCAAACTTACAGATCCCCTTAATAAATTTCAAGAAAAAATGGAAAAGAAATTATAATCATAAAAGCTGATTGAGAGTTCATCA